CTCTCTCCCCTCTCTCTCTCTCTCTCTCTCTCTCTCTCTCTCTCTCTCTCCCCCCCCCCCCCTCTTCCCCTTTCGCGAAATGCGCGAAAATGCTTGCGGAACCTTTTTTTCGCGGACGCACGCACACACCCCCGCTCGCGAATGTCGATGGTATACTGCGCGCGTAATCACGCGCGGGGAGACGGCTCCGCGGCGGAGTTTTCCGAGGGCTTTTTTGCAGTCGCGGAGCTCTGCCTGTCGTCGAGTCGACGAAGCATGGGAGAAGGGGAGAGGGCTCGAGAGCTCTTTTTCCGCGTCGCACCTACACGGCGCATAACTCCATTTCTTCTCCTCGCGCTCTTTCCCCTCTTTCTTTTCTCCCCTCGCCCCGTCGCTCCCCTATACGTTTTTCCGCGCGCGCTCGCGTAGGCGCGGATACGTCCGTCGTTTTCGCGATATCCCCGCCCGGATCGCGACTCGCGTCATTTTCGGCGCTCGATTCGAGAAACCGACTGTACTTCCGATTCGAGGAATAGAGCGGAAGGAACTCGCGGGAGATTTTCGCGCGTGGGTTTGGAGAACGACAGGCACGGATTTCGAGCGTGACGGGACAGGAGAAGGCTCGATCGATCGCCGAAAGCTCGTCCGTGCGGTCGAAGGAAAGAAAGATTCTGGGAACGCGCGGCAGCGTCGCCGGAGAGCGAACGAATCGGAATTCGTCGTCGTCGTCGTCGTCGTCGTCATCGTCGTCGTCGTCGGGCCGTCGCTTCGCACGCACGCGCACGCGTCCGGCGTCCTGTACCCCGCGCCGGTTTACGCTCGAGCCAATTGGCGGCCGTTGCAACCGCTCGGAATAATGCCAATTATCACGTTTTTCGACGAGTCAACCGTTCGCCGCGTTTTCAAATGCGAGTGGACGGTGTCCGGTTCGCCGGCGAACCGGCGCGGTGCGACGAACGATATCTTTCGGCTCGAAATGAATTTCCAGAGCGAATCGTCCGTCGAAAGAGAGAGAGAGAGAGAGAGAGATTTAGCTTTTTCAGCTACTTCTAATACATTAAAATACATTTGTTGCAACGTATTCTTTTAACGCTCTTTTAAATGACTCAATCTTTTCACACTACCTTATTTCGGTAGATAACACATTGTACATTTTCACTCCTTCGTAAAACAAACTCTTTTGCGTACTTGAGAATTTACGAAATTCAATTACAATATCTCCTGCCTGTCTAGTTTGTCTTAGTCCTCCACTACCTCTACTACCTCTAGTTTACTTCTTAAATGCTCTGGCGACATATCTTTTAAAATTTTTTTAAATAAGAGAGAGAGAGAGAGAGAGAGAGAGAGAGAGAGAGAGAGAGAGAGAGAGAGAACGCATCATCGTTGGGGTTGAAATCGAACGCTTCGACACTTTTATTCGCGATCGCGTCGTAAAATACGCTTGACTTTGTTTGCACTCGCCATCGCGTGGACAAATGGTTCGAGAGGAAGATTCGACTCTTCTTTGATTCACCCACGACGCGGGGCTGCCTTCTTTTATTGTGCCGATAAAAAAAGCGGACTCGCCATGAGTTTTGCGAGAGCCTCGGGAGCTAGGGGTCAATTCTGTATCTTACGATACAGTGAAAGTGCTATAAGGGTCTGAGCAGAATGGCTGTTTCGTATTCTTAAGTCACACGACAGTTATTTGCGCGTTACTTTAAGACAAAGATTTAAAATATGAAACATTGTATCAGGAGTACAAGACAGCCATACCGTTCAGGCCCGAAGGGCGCTATCCAGACGAACTTGCATAGCGCATAAACATAGAGAGAAGTCCCCTATCATGTATAAGGAATGTGATTGGACTATAAGTGCATGGCTTAAGGAAATAAACCAATCAATTTCTTTATGCTTATGCGTCTGTGCAAGTTTGTCTGGACAGACCCTAAAAGTGAGCTCTGTCTCTTCCTAAGGGGACGGTTAGAAAGTAAAAAAAAAATAATAGTAAATTTCACTACATTTCTATCATTCACCTTACAAATCACATGGTAAACAAACGTGAAGTGGTTCGGAATGTCCTCGCTAGAGGGACGCGCGGTATAAGACTTTCTCGTACGAAGAAAATCGCATAGGGTGCTTATAAATACGGATAAGTTTATACACTCGTATAAGATTACTTATCTTTTCTTTGAAAGATGCTTTCTTGTACTAATCTTTATGACTGCAAAGTGTTGTAACGAACGAACGTAGTGAACGCAATGTACATATAATCAAAAGCGGGGAATATCATCACGTCCAATATAAATACGATTATTACTATTGCGTGTAGTTATTCGTAATTTTCCTTGTGGCCGTTATTGCAATATTTATAGCACACCTTACTAAATGAAAAGCTCGTTTTGATTCACGACAACCGTATCGTAAATTGCACGGACCAATATTGTGTCTATGAGAACTGTAATACATTGTTAGGTCGACCATAACCAACGTAGTTGGAAGAAATATAAAAATGTGGCTGGCTCCTAAAATGACTATAAATTATAGTGAGATTGTGGTAACCGCAACCATTTTTTCCTATCAGTGTAATGAGTTAACTTCCCAACCCCGTGTAAGATACAGAGTTAGACACCCCGAATGCCTACCGACGCGCGATCGAAAAGTATCCACACGCAATCCCGGTAATTGTTGTACGAAAGCTCGAGATCGAGGAGTGTCCGATGAAAAAAAAAGAGAGAGAGCGAGAGCGAGAATCGATAAGCTCGATAAACGCCTCTTGCATTTACAAAAATAATCCCGCTAAGTAAAAGATCGAACGTGCCCCGAGCGCGTATCGAGAACGGCGTCGCTCGATCGGCGAAGGGTTACAGAAAATATTATGTTTTGTATATCGCGCGCGCGATAACGCTAACGATAAAGCCCGGCGAGCGGGTTTCTTTTTCTCCTCTCGCCGGCCGAGAGATCCGAGAATGCGTCCCCGGGAATAAACGAGGCTCGAGCATTATCGCGCCACTCAGTTGCGCCGCGCGGTTATCTCGCGAGTCGTAACATTCTTAGTCCGCCCGTCCGTCCGTCCGTCCGAGCGAAATGTCGATAAGACGCGAGAGATAATGAGGCATCGGTGTTTTCTGCCGAGCGCGCTCCATTTCGACAGCGCGACCCCGATAATAGCGTATCCCGTATACACGTACACCTATCTCGAGCGATAATGGCACCCTAAATATATACAAATATGTACAATGATAACCGGAGCAAAGAGCCTCGCGGTCGACAGAAGTCGTGAAAAAGGGCGGGGAGCAAACAAATTACATACACTTGCGACGTATCGCTTTAGAAAGTTAACAGAGTATCGACGACCACGGTTTCAACAGAGTTCGCCTGATAGAGGGCGGAGTCGCGCCTTAAATCCGCATCTCCCGGTTTCATTGTGGACACAACGTTGTCTTCAGCTTCATTCGACACCCTCTTAGTTAATTATGACGGTTCCTCGTAGCGTCTCTATTTAGGCACGTGACCGCTCTGTTCGTTTAACCTGATGACGCACTGCGATTTTCACGCCTTTTCAGTTCGGTCGGTCCCGAAAAAATTGACCATCCGATTCTTTCAAAGATGCCCGTTTCTTACGGAGCCCCCCTGCGGATTTCCGTGCTTTTTGCTGCTCCTTTTCACCGGTGTCTCTTGTAGAAACTTCCGGAGCTCACCATTTATGCCTCATCTGTCTAAACCCGGGTCTGAATTCTTCACGCTGATTTCTACACAGAGAGAAAAAAAATAGTCATTTTTGGACCCAACCATATTTTAATAATTCTTCCAATAACGTTTTTTTTTTACAATATTTTACAATACAATTATTGTATATTACTAAATTAAAAGCTCGTTTTGGTTTATGACAACCATATTATAAGTTGCATGGACCAATATTGTGGTTATGAACTATAACATTGTTAGGTCAACCATAACTTACGTTGGAGGAATTATAAAAAATATGGTTGGGTCCAAAAATGACTATTTTTTCTCTCCGTGCTGATTTCTAGGATCATTTCGGAAAGCCCCCGGCTCAGCGGGTGTCTAATATAACATGGACGCTGCAAAGTCAGGCATTTACGTGCAAAGTACAATAGTCTACAAGGTATACGGTGCAAAAGTATGTTTAACGTGTTGGAGAAAGAGCGACCTGTCATCGAATATGTCACACTTCGCCATAAATATCGGTTCCTTTCGGTTTCGTAATTTGGTTCGGCATCCTGACCTTACGCCGAAAAGAATAAGCTTTGGGCGCATTGCGACCGTGAACTAGGTAATGTTGCTTCTCGTTAAACTGTCTAACAGCTCAATATAAATAACGTTTCTGCATTAGTCTCGCATATCTGTTGTGTCACTCTACAGTTAAGCTAACGGCACACGATGCTACTTTTCTCACTGGACGCGGAGTTTTCGATCAGGGGGCCGATTCTGTATCTTATACGATACAGTGAAAATGCTGAAGGCGAGCGGCTTCGTCTCTTTCGAAGGGGACGGTTAGAAAGAGACAAAGCCGCTCGCTCTTCGCATTTTCACTATGGTGTAAGATGCAGAATTGACCCCGTAGTGACTAAGGCCCGGTTTCAGCGAAGGGCGAATTAATGAGTCAAGTTGGTGAAACTGGGCCTCAACTTACCAAGAGGTCGGAAAGACCGGCCCTTGACCCTGACATTTACCGCTGATCACGTGATAAACACTGCAGTTTTTGTCCCGTCGACGTAGGGACTCACAATTTTTCAATGTAATCTCTAATGCCCCCTTCAAATTATTTGAGAAGAAATTCCTCCTCATAGCTGCTCGACCACGATCCCCACGCGTCTCGGCCGCGTCGATAAATCGTCATTTGGATTCTTATGTCTTCATTGATTAACCCCGGCCGTGTTTTTCTCCGTCTCGGTCGATCGCGAATTATCGCCGGGACTTCGAAATCTCGTCGAAAAGCATTCGCGATGCCCCTGCCGACCCGCGGGTCCCGCGGGACGTCTCTCGTTCGCAACCGTGAAGAATTCAATTGACTCGGCGAATCCACGCGCGGAAGAAAAGTCGAGCGAGCGCGCGAGGAAACATCCTGTTGTGCATATTCGCGTCCAAGTGAATTCCACGAAATTCCGCTCCCGAGAGCCAACGAGGGAGGAGAAAGAAGACGAGATCGCGACGATAAAAAATTCGGGGCTCGCTCCCTAGAAAAAAAAAAAAGAGGGAAGAAAAAGATCTCGGGAGACGAAGAATATTCGTCTCTCGTCGGAGTGGAAGCGTCTTCTGCGGCGGAGCACGTGGAGGGCGCACCCGGGCGACACCTGGCGCCCGGAAGGTGGCGGGCCGAACGTTTCCTCGGCGCGGCGAGGTGACGTCGCGCCGCGGGCGGCCCGTCCGTTCAGTTGACACACGCGCGCCGTCGAGTGCGCGTCGATTCGTGGTAGCCGTCCGAGGCCGTCGTGCGCGTCTCTCGTTCCCCTCTCGGAGGCTCTTCTCCATACTCCGCGGCCGCTACGTGCAGAAACGGCCCGTACCCATGCGCGACCCGCGCGCGCTCCACGTGTAGTCCGCGTACGTTCGCGCGCGAGTGAATCTTGCTCAGCCCCCGTCGTCCCGCGGCCCGGACTCTTCGTTCACGCGCGCTCCGCGGCTGTGATGTGCGTCGCCGGGAGACACGCTCTTCACGAGGCGCGGTAGTGACGTGTGCCGTGTAAGGAAGAAAGAGAGAGAGATATATATATACCACTTTTGGACCCCAGCTATGTATCCCGCCGCGTCCATGAACGCGGCCGCGGCGGCGGCCGTCGCGGCTGCGGCCCGACATCCGGTACGTACGACGTCTTCTCTTACTTCTACTTGTCTCGGGGACGGGGCGGTGAGACGCCGCCGGCGAGTTCGGCTCTCGCCGTCGTACGGCGAGCGTGATGACCGGGGCTCAGGGATAATCGGTCGCGCGATTCTTCTCCCGCCGCCTTTCGGGAGCGGGAACGCGCGCGCGGTTCGTCGTCTCTCGGAGATCGCTCGCATTCGGTTGCGCGATGAACGTTTCCGGCTTACCGGCGGAGTCCACCGGGCGGCACCTTAAAGGTTTTCCATTTAACGTTTAACCGAGTCGAGCGCACGGAGGCAATTTTTTTAACTTCGATTGCGGTTTCGGTCATCCTCTTAGGCCTATAGCAGAGAACGATCCGTAAACGCTTAAGACTGTCTCGGTCGTAGACGTAGGGCAAGGCAGAGAGAAACGTAAGTCGTATACAGCCTTTGGCTGATGGCAGAGAACTATCCGTAAGCGCTTAAGACTGACGTAGTCGTAGACTTAAGGTAAGGCGGAGAAAAACGTAACGGCTTACGTTTTTCTCCGCCTTACCTTGAGTCTACGACTACGTCAGTCTTAAGCGTTTACGGATAGTTCTCTGCCATCAGCCTTTCACGACTTACGTCTCTCTCTGCCTTGCCCTACGTCTACGACTGAGACAGTCAGCGTTTACGGATTGTTCTCTGCCGTCAGCCTCACGCGCGTTTCTAACTGTGCGGCTTAACGTCGATTTCGGACGTCAAATTGCTTCCTACCTTCTTCCAATTCGTAAAACTGGAGACCGATATAAAGTAAGTTGAGCCGAGATTAAAGCTGAGAACTGCGCTGGCATTGGAAAAAGACAAAGCGTGGATTATAAGCTGACAGCGAATTCGATTGCTCGCGCTAGTGCGCGCCGAGGCTTGTTTACGGTCGATATATTTAAGGATCGTCTTGAATATCTCTCTGGAAATGTATTTCGTAATGCATTCACGAGAATTCGTGATATACTTCGTAGCCAGTAAAACGATCTGTATACAACATCCGTACGGAACACTTTTTGTCCAAACACTCTTTGAACGTGTACTTACGACAAAGTTAAATATAAAAATTGACTCCGAACAGGCCTCGGTGTAATCCGGCGATTACGATATACGCGATAGCGAGATAACGGGGCGGCGGGCGACGATCGGCTCGAAGGGAAATCGACTCCAAGTTGTACCCCGGAGGAGACGCGATTAGCGAAAGAGACGCTCCATCGCGATAAGATAAAAAGTCTCGTATTTCGCGTAATTTGCGTTATCTAAGTGCGCGCAAACTGAACGGGGAATAAAGTCCGTACGCAAACGCCATAAAGATATTTACGCGGCGGGAAGCGGCGAGAGACGGGAAGCACAACCTTGCCGGCGAGTGGCCGAGCCGAGGCTCGTGCACGTTTATTTCCGAAAATTCAGACTTTCTCCATTTTTTTTAATGGACTTTCACGGCGGCCTTTCTTCCGTTTGTTGTCCCATTAGGCACGCGTTGCTAGTGTTCGACCGTTCTCTCGGTGGGGGGGGGGGGAACCTCTAAATTTACTCTTGGACGTCGGGCGTATTCTAAAAAAATACCGGGTAGCGTGAAATTCTTCGAAATTTCAGGCCCGAATGGTACAATTGTGCCAACTGACGAAGGTCGTCGATGATCGCCGGCTCTTATCACGTGCTTTCCGACCTGATATATCGCCTCTCTCTCTCTTTCTTTTTCCCTCTCGCACATTTCTTTACGCTCTCCATTTTATCGTTTCCGACGCGCACCGCTCCGGCCTCCTGAGCTTGTAGGGGCAGCGCTCAATTATAAAGACAGATCAATCTACTTGTATCCATCCGCAGTGATCAATCGCGTAGAAAATTACGTCCTTTTTCCTCCCCCTTCCTCTCTCTTTCTCTCTCCCCGTTGCATCTGACGTGTCTACGAGCCGCGTTATTTCGAGTTAATCGATCGATATCTATCCGCCGCGCGGTTATTACCAGATACACATCGCTCGTACCTACGAATCGTATTATTTCTCCGCCGCTGTCAACGTCACTCCCGCGAGCTAACGAGATAATTAAAAAGTAGCGGCGGCGAGCCAACGTTTTCCGAGCCGACGGCAGCGGGGCTTAGACCAATAAATTCTTTCCGGCAATTATTTATTTTTCTGCCGATTCCCTCCGCTGCTCCCCCCCCCCCCCCTTTCCTGCCCCTCGACTAATGCTCGATAGTCCCGCGCCCTCGTCACGCACGCACGCACGCACGCACAGGTGCCCGCGCTAAATATCTGGACGCACCCGTGTATAAATACGCGCCGGATGAAATTGACCTACGTTATATGGTGGGAGGAGGACGCGGAAGGAGGAGCAGGAGGGCGAAACGCGCGCGGACAGAGCCGAGCGACGACGGAAAAATATTTGGCCGCCGAGCAAATTTTCATTCGACTGTAAACACCCGGCGAGCCGAAGCGGAAAAGCTCGTACGCGAACGACGAAAATAAATCTATATATCGCGGCGCGGCGGGGCGGGAGGGCGCAGGAGGGCCGCCGGAGCCGCCCCCGCCTGGTATCCGCAATTGCGTCATATCTATAGCCTGCCGTCGCGCACACGGCGGCCTCCGATGATTACCACCGCGCCCGCCTGGAAAAGCGAGGCGGCGAAAAAAAAAAACCCCGGAGAGTCAACCGGAAAAGTGGGGAAACTGGACACGCGGGGGAGAGGAAAAAAAAGCGCGATCAGCGCGAACGGACTCGCGCTCGACGACCCGCGATCGCCGAAAATTGTCTTGGGGGCGCGGTGGTGCCAGAAATGAGACGCGGCCCCGTCGGACGCGAGATCGAGGGGCCCGTTTATAGCGCGACGCTGATTGGCGTAAGTCATCTGTTTTACCGACACGTTCGAACATAGTTTTTGCGCTCGTAAATCTTTTTTTTATTAGCTTTTATGCGCAAAATAAAACCAGGATAAGTTGCGTACCGCATAGCACGACAGTTTCATACTTGAAACACTCAGGTCAGAAGTCTAATGAAAAAGATATTGGTATTTGAAATTTTCCATTTTTTAATCGTGACCAATTTGAAATTGGCTTTATAAAATCACAAAATTCTTCCACACGATTATAGTACGCATAAAAACAAGGCGGGGGGTTCACGACTTTATATAAAGAACGAAGAGAAATTAAAAATATCGCTTTATAAGTAATCGTGGTTACGTTAGGTGACAGCTTCACGTGCTGATATTGTGGTGTACAGATTTGCGGCATTACTGGGCATTTTGTGGGCATTAGTTTGGACATTAGGCCTTGCTGGGGCATAATAAAGATAAAATAAATTAAAATAAGGTAAAACAAGTAAATAAGGTAAGATAACATAATAAGACAAGGTGATGCCCACTGGGCATTAGTGTAGAAGATTTTGATCAGCGGTTTCCCCCTCGCTTTTAACTATTATTCTGTTAAAATATCCAGGTAATGAATAATGAATTAGTTAATTATTTTTGTATAGTAAATGCAATCGCGATAATAGTAAATTTAACTACATTTCTATCGTCCACCTCACTAATCACACAGTAAACAAAAGTGCAGTGATTCGGAATGTCCTCGCTAGAGGGACGCGCGGTACAAGACTTTCTCGTAAGAAGAAAACCGCATAGGGTATTATAAATAGGGACAAGTTTGTACATTCGTATAAGATTACTTATCTTTTTCTGATAGGTGCTTTCTTGTACTATTCTTTATGAGTGCAAAGTGATGTAACGAACGAACGTAGTGGACGCAATGTACATATAATAAAAAGCGGAGAATATCACATCCAATATAAACACGATTATTACTATTGCGTGTAGTTATTCGTAATTTTCCTTGCGGTTGTTATTGCAGTATTTATAGTACACCTTACCAAATAAAAAGCTCGTTTTGGTTCCTGACAACCGTATCGTAAATTGCACGGACAACATTGTGTCTATAAGAACTATAATACATTGTTAGGTCAACCATAACCAACGTAGTTGGAAGAAATAAAAAAATGTGGCTGGCTCCTAAAATGACCATAAATTATAGTGAGATCGTGGTAACTGCAACCATTTTTTTTTCTGTCAGTGTACGTCGCTTGACTTTAAACTTAGGTCAACTCCTTCGCTTCGTCCCGACTATCCTCTTGGAAAGGGACGAGGAATGAGTCGAAGCTGAAGTTAAAGTTAAGCGACGTCGGAAGCACCGGGCCTTAATTTTGTATCTCCCCGCTGTCAGCGGCGCGAGGCGACCTTCTCCGCGGGGAAAGTGGGACGATCGGTTAATTTAACCGAGAGCACTTGCACCTTTTTACGTTATAAATACAAAGGTAGGCGAAACATTTCGTCCACCGGTTTTCCCCGCGCTTGCGCGTCATTTTTAGCCGCGCTTATACCTACTTTCGCGAACGTACGGTGGAACGATCTCATTAGCGTGCCACCAGCGACGACACGGACCGATCTCCCGTTGTAATTATTTGCCGGCGCGACGAGAAGAGACGGGGACAAAATTGAAATCGAGACGAGACAGAGGAGGAGAGGGGGGGAAAGGGAGGAGGAGAGATACCACCAAACGATATCGCGCGCGCACCACGAAATTTGCGGGCCGCAGGCTCGCCCGCTCGCGCGCGCTTCCGCAGAACCGCAATATGCATTGGTAATTACACCGCGATGAATTACACCGTGGAATGAGCGAAGCGTGTTACGTGCAATTGGCGCGAGCATTATAAATCTCGTCACGTGCAAACAGTTGGCCACCTCGTCTTCTCTGTCTCTCTCTTCCGTTCCTCCCCCCCCCTCTCTTTCTCTCTCGTCTCTTTTTCATTGAATTCATATGCGTTGAGAATCTCAGATGAAAATTGTAGCGAGCGAAACGAGAGATGCGTCACATTTTTAACAACACGTCGTGCAATTTTTATCTATTATCGCGCGGTGAGGCGCGACGACGCAGGCGGAGTCGATTAAACGCCGACAATGGCGCGCCTTCAATTTTCGAAGAAATCACGCGTAATCCACGCGAGAATTGAGCCGCGTATTTACACGACGGTATAACGAATTTGCCGATTATCGGGGAAAAGTGTCCGACGCTGCCGATTAATTCGCGCCGCGATATAAATCGCGAAGGGAATACGCGAGAATGCTCGTCTGTCGCGACGATCGAGCGACTTGGCGCGTCATCGTCATCGTCCGAGGACCCGCGTTCGATCTCCGGAGACGACTCATGGTATCATGACTCGTCACCGTCGCTGTCGCCGCCGCCGTCGCCCTCGTCGTCGTCATCCCCGTCGTGACGCTCCGGTGCTTGACCGAGTTGACACAGGCGGTGGTTATTGGCACTCTGCAGGGCCGCCAGGGCTGTTTACGTACAAGCTGTACAAATATTATTTCCGGGCAAACCGGCCCGTCGATCATTACGAAACCCCAGGCGGAAAGTTTCAACGGATACTCCTTGTCCCGCACTCCTGCCTTCCTCTCGTGCATATATGCACACATACGTACACGTATATCGGGCTCTCGTGGTAACGTTGAGCCCTTTAAACCGACAATCTTGCGTCCCTCGAAAACGATTGTGCCATAGAAATTAGATATATCGCTCAGATCGAATCGAGGACCTACCGAGGCCTGTGTGTGTATTTAAAGATATATGGAGCTTACGCTAATCCGATCATTATGCGTTCGCACTCCACGAGAAGATTCCTGAATACTCTTCCCGGGGGACGAACACCTTGATTCAAAATACGGATAATCGGATAGGCATTAAATCTGGATCGATACTTTAGGTGCCGCGAGTGTCATTTATTAGTACAAATTACATTGTGAAAATTATTGTTGCGCCAAGCGCGTAGATAAATGCATAAGCAGCCAGCAATTTTCTCAGCTTAAGTGTTAACAAACGGTCCGTCTTCCGAGAAGAAGATGCGAGTCTCTTGACGAAATTCATGTCTCACGTTGAAGATCGAGTTTTGTAAACGGAGAGAAAAAGCTGTCTTAACATAAAAGAATCACAAAATCTGAATATGTAATCGACTGTTGAGTTAGCAGAAATCGTCTACTCTCTAAAAATCAATTAGTATACTACTGAAATTTTCAGTAGTATACTTATAACTGCAAACCAGTGGCTATTCACTGTTTCCAGTGATTATTCATTAATTGATTTTTAGAGAGTATGCAAAGGGGAGGCAGTTTCAGTATATCGCTTCTGTTTGCGTCTACGCGCGTTTATCTGTTTGCATTTTTATTTTCCTACGTACTTTTCCTTTTTGCGTTTTTATATCTCGTGGTTTTCGCCGAGTCGCGTCGAGACCTGTGAGATTATCTTTCATCACGGAGTCTATGATTAATTAGTAACCGAGGGGTTCGTCGAGCACGAAGATTTCTATCGTCGAAGCGGCGCGACGTTAATGCCGAGAGTGTATTTAACTATTTAATTAATCGTCGCTAATCAATCTGGAAAAACGCCCCCGTACCTCGAGCTCGTAACCCGACTCGAGTGATTTGATTGCCGACATCTTCCAATTTAAGACCCGTCGGAGTCGTCAGATAAGAAGTATTAAACGCCCGCGCGCCCGACTGTTTAACTCCCGTCGTTCTCGCTGAATTTTTTCTCGAAATGTTCTACCATTAATGTAAAATATTGACACTGGGCGACTCTCGGGCGTAATTAAACGACGTAAATAAGAAACTTTTTGACACACGTGTGACGCAATCGCGCTAACTTAATTACGGTCACTGATTCATCCACGATGGAGCCACCTAAATCACCGCGTTATCTCGTGAACGTATTTAGACTTACGCTTGCGTCGCGCCATGCGCGATTCGTGATTCGTATAATCGTGAATAGTGTGGAGGAAAAATTGGTCGATTCGCTAGTCTTGAAACTTGACTAATTGTACCGTAGACTAGTCCCGAGTCGAAATTTTGGTACTATTTTGACACTGAAGGATAATTTACACCCACTTAGCTGATCTATATATCTACATAGACCAATCTAACCTACTTTGATGACATTCTATTTTTTTACTCCTCCCTTTTGAATCTTTAAGTCTAAAAATTCACTTTAGCACCTACTTAAAAGGACCTATTTTAATACTAAATTGGCGAAAGTAGAAATTTTCGTCACTATCGGTTTTAAAGTAGGGGTAAATTTTGTACCTGCAGCGACCTCTTTTTGCCGGTTTTTTACCACTGGCATGGGCTTTATCCAAAAAATGTGGAATTTTGCCAACCTTAAAAGTTGTCCAAATAACAAATTACGAATGATAAACTGCGTAATCGCGCACAGTGCGGCGCTAGCTTTAGACGCGCCATTTTAAAAGAACACGTGTGAACGCGGGCCGTAATCGGTCGCGAAAGAAATCTCGACGAGACGACGCGAGAGGAATCGCGAGAAATTCCGTCCTTCCCCCGAGATTCCGTGACATTCTTGCTCTCGGAGCGACGACGGGCAGGGGGAGGAGATCGTTTTTGTCGCGCGGGCCAACGCGCCGCGTTTTGCTCCCGTCGAGCGAAAAAAAAAAGGAGGGTAGAGGAAGTATCGCGATCGTGTGTGCGCGCACGTGACGCGCGCGACTTGACACGTGTAACTTCGGGCAGGCCGAGCGAGCGCGCACGCGCGTTTATGCCCCGTGTACACTGTTCACAATAATGAGGAGTTTGCACAGACCGGGATCCCGACGTTCTTCAAACAGCGAGAGGCAAGGACAAACACGGCCCTATATGGACGGATGGACAAACACGACGTATGCGTTCGTGCCCGCTCGTTCGTTCGTTCGTTCGTGCCCATGTCGTCGGATCGGCGCTAAACTGACGCGAACGCGACGCCGAGTACCCCGTACCGCTACGAGAGAGCGAGGAGTTCTCTTCACCCTGCTCGCCGCCGCCGCCGCCGCCGTCGTCGCCGTTACGGAAACTATCGACCATCACCCTCGCTCAACAAGCACCATAAGCGATATGCTGGCTAACATTTGCCGGGCTAAGCACACAAATACGATACAGTGCTGTTTGCCCGGCCGCCAGTGGTACTCGATCGCGCCTGCGATACCGCCGGACATCGGCATCGACATCGGCATCGACGTCGGCACTGCCAAGCGCTAACGGTTTAATTCGTCTCGCGATCGGAGAGGAGATTTATGAATGATTGAGCGGAGGCGATATGCGAGGCGGCGTCACGAGAGCGTCGAGATATCCGCTACATCCTCGCGAGAGGGAGAAGGGGAGGGGGAGAGAGAGAGAGAGAGAGGGAGGGAGGGAGAGAGACGGTATAGAGCGTGTGCAGCGTGCGGCATGTGCCGTCCTGGCGCATCCTGGCGTGACGGCCAGGTCAGCTGGTCGGTGGTTTGCGAACTATCTCAATTTGCCTAAGCCGCAACCACGGCGACCGCGAAAACCGCAACTTCCCTCGTCGTGGCCACCTTTGGACACCCGTCCCTTCCCTCCCCGTCTATCCGCAATTCCTCTCTTCCTCTCGCCGCGACCTCCATCCGACTATCCGTTCCCTCTCTGCCTGCCTGCCTGCCCGCCCGCCTACCTACCTGTCTACCTACCTCTGACTCTCCTTTCTTCTCACGCTCGCCCGAGCCATTGTCGCGCGTCTCCTCCAACCCCAATTTCGAGAATTTAGCAGGCTTGGTCGTACTTGGACCGCACTGGCGCGACACGCGTGTCGCCCCTCATTCTTCTCGGAGAGCTTGGCCGACTTCGCACACCCTTCCCGCCGGTAGCGACGACGCCGTGGACGTCGCGCTTATCGTTTCGAGTCAAAGTATTCATTGTTAAGTTCAACGCATACCATTACCTTGGATAGAGAGGTCGAATGTTAACTCCGCGCGGTGCCGTCACGAATATCAACGTGTCGCGGTGCTCGTCGCGCCGTGTAATTTACGGATCCGGCCGAAGGACGCGATGTTCGCTCACGGAGGAGATGTCGTTAACGACACCATATATTTACGCGCGTGTACGCGCGCGCACAAACTCACGCACATATTCATACGCGCGACACAGCCCAGGCGGCTCATAGTTTCGGTTGTAGCGTGTAATCCTCGCGGACACCGCAAACATGTAATTAACACTTGCTCTCTCTCCGCGCTCGCGCGCACGCGCGCGAGAGAGGGAGAGGGTGAGAGAGAGAGAGAGCTGCCGCTGTTCTCTCGGGCCGAGAGACGATAACCGACTATTGCCGGCCCGACTCCGCGTGTAATCGCGCGTGCACGTGCACGCGTTCCGCGTGTGTGCGCCGTCTACCTCCACCGTCGGCCCTCGCCTTCCCTCCCCTTCCTACCCCCCTCCCCCGGGTGCTCCAATCTACCGCGAGCCTCTTATCACTTTCGCTCGCACGGCGCCCACCCCTGGCCCTTTCGCGGTCGAACAGCTGTACGGAGTTAATTATTCGGGCCGGGGTGGGCGGGGGGATCTTCGGGGAGGCTGGCGATCGGTCGATCCGCCGGCGTTTCTGGGACACGGATCGATTGATACACATCGCGTCCGGCTAATGACGCGTGGTTTCTCACGTTTCTTCTCTTCCTTTTGTCCCGCAGGGCCCGCCGCAACCCAACCAGCCATTCAAGTTCACGGTCATCGAGTCCTGCGACAGGATCAAGGAGGAGTTCAATTTTCTGCAGGCGCAGTACCACTCGTGAGTACCACTCGGCGGTCAACCCGCCGCTGCGCCGATGACGGTGTCGCGCGGGAAGGAAGGAGGGCACTTTATGCCGTTTTGCAACGTTCGATTCTCTCTCCTCTCCCGGGGGGGTCTTTTTTTTTTCTTGCCACCGCGGTTGGAAACGCGGAAACGCGCGTAAGGACTGCGGCAGAAGTCGTATCGCGCGCGCGCGCGCGTCCGCGGGGAGAAAAAGGTCTGGGAACGGGCGCAGCTGCGGCGCTCGGGGTTGCACGCTATATATCCTGCAAACGTAGCTGCACGACAGATACGTAATGGCAGCGATCGCGAATATACGGACTCGGAGCTTCTCGAGTTTCACAAGCGCCGGGGAAGAACGGGCCTTGCATTTTTCAGCAGCAGCAGCGCGCGCGCTCGCGGATCAAAACTTTTCTCGTTGTCCGACGGTTCTTCCCTTTTCTCTATCTTTTTTTTCGCCCCTTTCTTTCGCTCGCCACGTACGGAGCATATTCTATTCTCGAGGAGGAAGAGAAAGACAACGTGGTTTCCGCGGTTCTCTCGTTTCTCTCTCTCTCTCTCTCTCTCCCTCGATTCGAAGCTACGGACGAGTCGACTGTTTTCGCATGCGTTTCACGTTATGTTCTTTCTCCCTTTCCGCAGGCTGAAGCTAGACTGCGAGAAACTGGCTAACGACAAGATCGAGATTCAGCGTCACTACGTGATGGTAAGTGCAATCATCGCTACGTCGTAAAGTTAGACGTGCCAGTTAGACGTCGTAACGTTTCCCTCGACTGCCTCTCGCCTCCGTATTCCTCCTTCCCCCCTCTCTCTCTGCCTCTCCCTCGTCTCCCGTATCCAGAATAATCATGCTCGCTCGACCGCTAAACCACCTCGGCTTCTTAGCATTAATTGCATCCTCCAAGTCAGAGCCCGGGGTCGGGGCTTTACATTGGCTCGTTACGCCGCGCGTAACGTAGTCAGATATACTACAGATACATGTATATGTATGTATGCGCTCGTGCATAGCTAATGACACTAAGAGCCAGTGGCTCTCATCGAATTAGTCTACAATGCTCGCACAAGCGCAGCTGTCTCGCACGTTTAATGACGAAGTAATACGCTGTTGGGCCACGGCGACGACGGCGGCGGTCTCGTTAATATTCGAGCGCCTCCTCGTATCCCGTGGCCCTCGCGCATCCGCGATCGGCCCACCGCCGCGCTCCCCCATGCCGCGACGAACAGTATATTTATAAACTTTCGAAAAGAGTGTCCCTTCACCCGGGGGGAGGACTTAGATACGTGCGAATCGAGGATCTTGCGTGGCGGGTCGAATTCACATCGAAACGCATACCCCGCAGAAAAAATTTCCGGATCCAATGCTATTACACTTGAATGTATCACAAAATAGGATCGATATAGCGCCATGTTTGTTGTAGAGAAAGGAATATTTTAATCTTGAGTGAAAAATTCTGAAATCTAGAATAAAATGGTAGTATCGTCTTTTGTCGAATATAGTAAGTAAATTTTTTAATTCGATAGAGGAGAATAGGAATTATTGATTTTATTTTGATATTGTCTTATTTTTACACTAAATGAGGTGAGAAATATAAATGCGTCAAGAATATGTATTTTGTCTCGGCAACAGAAATCTTTTCTGAGGGTGTAGCGCATTGGAGAAATATAAGTTTTTCATTAACAACATAATTATTATTATACTGAATTTTAACGCGTAGATAATAAGAGAATACTTTGACGTGGAAAGATCATATCGATTATATGGTATAATATAAATTTGCGTTTTAAGATAAAAGATACTCTGAAATATTTAATGTGCAATAAAACTAATAAAATATACTCTATTTAATGTCGCAGCAATCGAAACAATGAGGCGAAAGATCGTAGATAAATTATTAAAATACCGTAATGTAGAGGATCCAATAACATTATTCGGTTACCTATACAGGAAATAAAATAATACAGTAGAGGAGACCGCGGCTAGATGGCTTATATTTTAGAATTTTGAAGTTATAACTTTCCTAAGTGTTTCAAAAGGATCATTTTGCAATTTTGTGTCTATATTTCTCTCCAGGTAAATACTAGAAAAGGGCTCGTGAGCAACATATGTACTTGTACCTCTAGGGCCATTTAGACCCGGTCTCCCCTACATTTTATCAATACACTCTGGATCCAAAGGTAAAATACCGATCACATTCTATCGCTACTTAGTTACTCGACGAGCGGTTGTAATAATGCATGTAGCTATTAACATGACCCGTTTCACTTATTAAAGAGAAATGTGATTCTACAAGATTGACAATCCACGGTGATTCGTACTGGGAATCATTTAGGTTTGACATTTTCAAATAGTTGAGATTCAAATTATAGAAATTCAAATTCGAATCGAAGCGAATCCAATTCGATTCGTATTGGAATAGATTCGCACATCTCTAGCAGGGTTCCGAAATTTCGCCCGAAGGGTCGGTGAGGCGATCGCGGGGATAAACGTCAAGTTAGAAAATAAACCTGGAGATTCTCCAACCGCGCACCTTGTTAAATCGGCAACAGAATTTCGCGATCGCGCGGCGCCTGTGTTACGCCGTTATTTATCTTCCTTATCGGGCGAGGGGGCGCGTTAATTAAATCGAAAACGCGGCGTCGTTGCGCGAGTTTTACGCTCGTGGCCGCGCCGATTTACCGTTGCCGTTTTAATTTGCCGACCTAATCGGCGTGTAGGCGGCACGCGGGCCACTAGTTTAAGCGCAATTAATCTCTGCTTTAGTCCATTTGATACGAACGCTCCCTTTTCCTCCCTCTCCCTCCCCCACCCACCCCCCTCTCACCCCTTCGCCGTTCGCCGCCGTTGCGCGACGCTAGCCTCGTTAACGCGCGTTAAGGATGTTGCACCGCTCGCCGTAACGAACGAACGCCGTTGCCCCCGGGGAAAGAGTGTGCCATTGGTCGACGCTATTGCCGCTACAGCCGACCGATCTCAACAGCCTCCGTTAGCGCGCCTCCCCCCTCCTCCCCCTCCCCCCCCGGTACTCGTTTCCATCGTCCTATCTGCTCTCCTCTCCGCCTTCACCTCCGCCACTGTGTCTATCTCCCGGGTGAAATAACTTACTTACAAGCGCAATTAATTCGCCCGAGTAATTACCGGGCTAATGGCCCGTAAAATTAAGAACCTGTAACCCGGTCGGTGCGCGTTTACACGCGTTCGCCTCTTCGTCCCGTACTTCTCACGCGCGCACCTTCTCTCCCTCTCTCTCTCTCTCTCTCTCTCTCTCTCTCTCTCTCTGCAGCTGCAACTGCGGCCCACCTTTCAAATACACTCTGCCGGCGGACTGGAGTATCGCGATTAGCAATAATTAATAACACGTTAGTGCAGTTGAAACGGCTCTGTTCGAACCGGCCGCCGGACGGTTTGAGGGAGAGATCTCTGGTTTGCGACCGGCATCCTCGAAAAGCATTCCCTATTTCTGAGAGTTGTTGATTTCTTAATTAATTACGTCGTGGGAAATTGCCGGTTGCGCATTGATTTCTTAGTTGATTACAAACATAAATCACTGGAGATTTTCCAGTTGCCACTTCGATCCCTCAGGCGAGCACTGAAGTGTATCATGGAAACTTTCTCTGTTGCAGTACTACGAAATGTCGTACGGTCTAAATGTGGAGATGCACAAGCAGGTGAGTTTTCGATTTTTCAGTTTTATTTTACTCCCACGGACTGCCGTCAGCGAGGAAAAGTTCAACTTTACTCTTCCTCGTCCCAACTTTTTCTTATTATTTGCATTTTTTTTTATACATTAACTCTTTGCGGAGCTCGATATAAGGAAAAAAATGTGTTTTTTAAAGAGGCAAACATTTGTCAGGATACATATAAATACTAATAGCTGTCAATTATACAAAAATTAATTACAAAATAAAAATAATATTAATTGCTGCATTCCGTGGGAACGTACATGTAGACTTAGATAGAGAAATCTATTTTGCTCTATAAATACTCTGAGAAAGAAAGACAGTTAGAAAACCATTTTAGGGCCCACAATTAGTAATCGAATTATTTGGATTGTTCTGTAACTCCAATCTGTTACGAATTTTACCCCGCGTAACTAAAAATCGCAATCAGCTATTCTATCTATATCCAAGAGTTTTAAGTAACACCAATTCTCTCAATTAGTTCTGTCGATATTCAGTAACGCAAAGACAATTTTCACTTAAGAGGCACTAACCGAAATGTTAAGTTGCTTAACTACAAAAAAGCGGTCAAAATTTTTCCCAGAGCAGACTTACGAACAATCCAAATAATCCGATTACTAATTGTGGGCCCCAAAATGGGTTGCTGTCTTTCTTTCCCAGAGTATTTATAGAGCAAAATAGATTTCTCTATCTAAGTCTACATGTGCGTCCCCTATTTATATCTGTCTATTTATTTATGACCCAATGTCCGGCAAGTTGCCGGTCGTTGGGCCCGGTTCAAAGAACGGCGAAGACATCTCGAGATTCTTATGGAGGACGGTGGAGAATCGTCGTCGCGTCAGTGGGAGGGCTCGGCTCCGTAAATACCGTCTCATTATTTCGCGCGTCTTACGCGCCCCGCGCGAATGCTTTATTCTCGGAACACGCGCGTACGCTCGCGCCGTAACCGCTCTTTCGCGAACTCCACGCGCGGACGCGACGAAAATAGAGGAACGCCCCGTTGACAGCGGATCGCCTCCCGGTCGGAAATATGTAGCCAGCCTCGCTCGTTACTCGCGCGTTTAAGACGACGAGGCGTTAAGGTGGTCACCGCCTAACTCGAGCTTTCATTACTCACTCGACGCGCGTCTCTGCGCCCGTCGAGACGCGGTCGACGGAACAGCCGAGAGAGCCCCGCAGCTGGGGAACCTGAGCTGTTATACAGGGTGTCCCTGAAATAGTTGGCCAAAATCAGGGTTTGGATTGGGCTCGTTGTAAGGATGAAAAAAGTTCCCGTAAACGTTAGTCCAAAAACGTATCCTTCAGGAGTTACAACTCATTTAATCATCAATCTCGAAGAATAAAATAAAATCGATATAGCGCCGTCATATTTATTATAGAGAAAGAAATATTTTAATCTTAAATGAAAAATTCTAAAATCTAGAATAAAATGATAGTACGTATCGTCTTTTGTCGAATATCGTGGTGAAAAGATGGGGGAAAAATTTATTCTAAACGCAAGAATATGTAAACTTACATTTATATAAGTTACTTTTGTCTCACTATAGCAAGTCAATCCTTTTTAATTCGATAGAGGAGAATAAGAATTATTGATTTGATATTGTTTCAGTTTTATACTAAATGAGGCTGTGTAAAATATAAATGCGTCGAGAATATTTTTTGTCACTGTAACAGAAATCCTTTCTGGGGGGGTATGCCGAACCCAATCCAATCCCTGAGGTTGACCAGCTATTTCAGGACCACCCTGTATACTACTACCCCCGCGTGCGCGCGATGCGTTCCACATTCTATCTCGCTTCCGAGAATTCTTAATCCGCCGGTCGAGCCATCGGCTTGAAACGCGTATTCGCAGCATCGAGCGTATTCGAGGGGGATCCGTAGCGTTTTCGGACTTTCTTCCTTTTTGCACGACCCTTTCTATTAATCCCGCTCTTTGCGACGTAATCGCGCGATAAATGTCGAGGCTTTAAATTGTTATTGTACTCGCGCATAAAGTGTACTGCAACGGTATCTGTAGCAGATTTCTTCGATTTATCATCGCAATTATTTTCTGTTCTATCGTATGCCTTTGTTACCATTACAGACGGAGATATGTAAGAGGCTGAGCAATATTATCGGACAAATTATGCCGTTCCTCTCGCAAGAGCATCAACAACAAGTCGCCGGCGCCCTTGATAGAGCGAAGCAAGTCACGATGACTGAATTAAATAGCATAATGGGGGTAAGTGCACACACGGAAAAAAGAATGATGCTGTATCGACAAGTTAATTAAAATTAAATCTCACAAATAGATTTAATATCGCCAGTAATATAAAACAATGATATGTAGTTTTTCAAAAAACGATCTACACTGGCCAATGTTTTTATTTAAAAAACAATTCTTATTTATTCTTACTCATTCTTATTTATTCTTATTTATCTTTATTCACTCTTGACATTTATTAATTCGTAACAACGTATAGTGTAAAGACTCTCTTGCTTGTACACAGTTTATTAATATAACGATATTGGCCAAACGAACAATATGAGATCAATAACAATTGCGTTAAAAGATATAGGTTTGCAATTTACTTTCGCCGTAATTGTGTACGCTATATTTTTTAAGAAATATTTAGTGTTAAGTTATGTACGTTTGCAGATTACTTGGAAAGGGTCCAAATCCGGGACCGAAACGTCGTTTGTTTTTTAAATAAAAACATTGGCCAGTGTAGGTTGTTTTTGAAAAACTACATATCATTGTAAAATAAAATCGTTGAAACAACATCAGTATTAATAAATGAAAAACATCAGACTGTTGTCTTGATAATCTGGATCAGTTAGTTCAATGCTTAAAATGAAAATTCATAGCAAATACAATTGAGTGAATTATTTATGTTTGTGGCAACCCGTGACGTTAACGTTTTAATTCAAGCAACTTCATTTTGCTTAATTCAGCAGCATTTTTTTTCCATACACAAGTATAATAATTCAACGCGAAACGTACATGCGTACGCGCGCGAACTGTGCGAACGAGCCGTCCTATATTTTCCAAGCTTGCCGGCAAAGGTTATAAGCAGCGGCGAACGATTTTTATTTTGGCTATTTTACGTTACGTTTTCCACGTGGCGCGGCTGAACTTTCTTTATTTCACAGCCTCGATGAAAATTGCGCGCGCGCGATCGTAACACGGAGTTGACATTCGGCAGACGCGTCGCGTATAATCAAGTTCCGAGTTGACTCTCGCGCGCATGATTCGAATAATTTCTCCGGAGCCCCGAGGACACTATTGTGCCGAGACAAGCCCGAAAGAAACCGGCGCGCCTCAGGTCGCGCGAGCGAATCAACGTGTGGCGCTCCTGTTTAAACAATTGTATCGAATTATCGGGACAAATATTTGTTTCACGGCGCAAGTAATTTCTGTGTCGCGTGTGCACAGTATCTCCTCACTTCGCAACGTGTTGCCATCGATAAATTAATATCGTGTCGCGGTCCAGTGAGAACGCAACGCCCAGATTTTATCCGCGGAGACGCGTCCGACCGAGATGCGCCTTTTATCGCGACGAGGCCGCGTCGCGCGGCGCAAACCGCAATCTCGCCAATCTGTCATTACGCGACGCGGCGTCGCTGTATGTACGCGGAATATAATTAGCGTGCTAGTATGTTACGGGCTGTCGAGAGGGGCTCGTGGCGAAGGGATTCGCACGACGGGGAAAGTACGGAGAGGGGGCGGATGGTGGCACACAAAACGCCCCGCGCGCGCGCGGAGGGAAAGGGCGCGGCGCAGACCGAAGGGACGATGAAGGCAAATAGACAGAAGCGCTAACCCTCATGAATATGTATTATTCGGTAAACAGAGGTTGAATCAATATTTCGTTTAATAACACTGCGCGAGGAACGTATAGTCCTCCATCCCCCAGTTCCCCTCCCCCTCTCCTCCCCCCCGCGACCCTTTTCCATCTTCCTCCCGCTCACCTCGGGCAAAACGCGACGCGGGGTTCTCCGATCTCCTCCCTCTCTCCCTTCCCCTCTCTCTCTATCTATCTCTATCTCTCTCTTCTCACCTCCTCCTCCTCCTCCTCCTCCTCCACCTCCGTCCCCGCGCCACACGCGTTGCGCGTATTATTCACAGCGCGTTAAACCTCGTTTGGGACTATTACGTTTCGTTTCACGCGCCGGAAACGAACGCCGCGATTTTCGACGTGCACCGGCGTCCGCCGCGAGGGTCGCGCGATTTTTCAATCCCGCGATCGGAGATAACGCGCGAGTTTTATCCTACGCGAGCGTTTCGCGGGGCGATATATTTTTTAACGTCATCCGTATTCCGCGATACCAACCAGAAATTTTATTCTAAACAATCACGTTGAATTATCGTCCACCCTCTCGACCCCGCCGTCCCTCCGCGGCCCACTTTCTATATTTTGTTTCGTGCAATAGCGCGCCTTCTCCGCCACGCGTACCGGGGGGGGGGGGTCTTTTTTTTTCGCGCTCCGCCCCGTAGCCCGTTGTCGTCTGTAGTAATCGCGGGCTTCTTGGGAATCCTCGCACGTACCTGCAACAAAACCGCACACATGCGCGAGATCGATTTATACGGGCGATATTTTGCATGCGCGTTTACAGCAGCAGAGGCCAGACATACCGCGGTTCCTTCAGCAAATGCACGCTCAGCAAATACCACCGGGTGCGACGATGGCACATCCGGGTCTACCTGGAATTCCCGGATTGGGGCCAGCTGCCGGTCTTCCGGTACCAACTTCCGCGTCCGCGGCTTTGCTCGGTCTCGGCCTGACCGGGACGGTCACCCCGACCCCCGGTGCGACCGCCGCCCCTCATTCCCTGTCGATGCTCGTCAAGCCTGAGATCCACCGCGGTCAACCGGATGACCTGAAGAGCAACGGCGGTAAGTCGACCGTGCCTCCCGATATCTTTGATATGCGACCGCACAATTGTATCGCTATATGCAGAGTTGGGAAGCAGCTCGTTACTTGTAACGAAGTTACGGTCATCACAATAACTTTTTTTTTCGGTAACTCTAACTTAACTTCGTTAAACAAAGGAAACAGTTTTTTGAAAGTCAACCAGACTGGCAAAAAAGCGATCTTTATTTAAGTCACAACGTTTCGACCTCTTTCTCGGGTCCTTTTCAAGTACAATCTGGAAATGAATTTTAAATTTCAAATGACTTAAATAAAGATCACTTTTTGCCAGTGTGGCCGACTTTAAAAAAAATGTTCCCGTTGTTTAAAAAAGAACCACTGGCGACACTTAATTTTGATAACTTCGTTGCTTTCCCTGCGTCCGCAACTGTAACTGAACTCGGTTACATTAATACTTACTTTATATAGTTTTTAAATCTCCACACGATCGCATTAGGGCATACATCTGGGCATAAACGTAAATTTATCGACATTGTACAATTCATTACTTTCTTGCATTGAAAATAAAAATGTCAAATCTGCAATTTCTCTCTCAACAATGTAAATGTCAGAGTTGGAAAAGTTGCTTTATAAAAGTATCTAGTTATGGCTACAGTTTTTTTTCGCTAAAAATGTAACTAGATACAGTTACTCGAAACTAACGAGAATCGTCACTTTGCAGTTACTTTCTTGCGATGAAAATAAAAATATCAAATCCGCATTTGAACTGTAAAGTGTCGATAAAGGCGTTTATGCGCAAACGCAAGGCCCAGTGCGATCTGTGGAGGTCGAAAAAATATATAAAGTAACTCTTAATGTAACTTCAATTAAATTAGTTACTAGTTATCGAAAAAATGTAACTGAGTTAAGTTACAGTTAGAGATGGAGAGAAAGTAACGAAGTTAAGTCGGAGTTACCAAAAAAAAGGTAACTGTAACTTCGCTACAAGTAACGAGTTACTTCCCAACCCTGTGAAACAGGCATCACGTTGACGCGTACCGAGGCGCAATACACGGCGGACATCGCGCGTATGGAAAGTTTCATCGCTAAAGTTGTTACGAATTAAGAATACATTCTTAATATTAAGAATATGTTCTCAATTTACGAAGATGTTCCAACAAACATGACGTTAAGAGGGAGACATTCTTCTTCATTAAGTGTATCTATTAAGAGGATTGGCGAAGTATACATTTCAAGAATACAATTTTTTCGGCGTGGAAGAAAGGAAGTCTCGAGTAAAATCCCGATTTCTGGCCGCACGTTTAATTCAACAATCGAGATCGGTAAAGAGTATCGCACGGTGATATGCCTTTCAATTTTGTAATAATAATTGAAACGAAAAGAATTGGTTGGCACAAACACAGATACGACGTGCTATCGGTGTATTATAATTTTTCGGTATTATGTCGGTATTACAGAGGTATTATATCGATATTATTACTACGTTATATTATTGAAAACGTTAATATGCGAAATTGCAGTTCCTACTCTTCCCTCGCGCGACGCGTAGGGGCGAGCGGGCTCGGGCCGCTTCGGAGCTTCTCTGGCAAATTAAAAAGAAAGTGATGGCGTGATTAATCGTAAAGTTCCGACTTTACGTATCTTACTTCGTCCGTTTAATCTCCTGCGAGACACATCTACGTCGCGCGAGGACACTACAAATCCAATTGATCTGATAGCATTAACATTCAATAATATTTAATCATGCATGCACATATATACATGTATGTAAATCCCTTCTAATGCCGAGAAGTTATATACCGGTATTATGAAAATTTCGGTTGTGCACCGGCATTCGGGCGTCCAGTATCGGTACAATTAAAGGTTTTTAGCGCGCGCGCGGCTCTACGGAGGATATAGAGGCGCGAGTGCTAGAGCGAAATTATTTCGGTGCTCGGTCCCCGATTTATATCGTATAAATCGCGCATAAATCGCGCGAGAGAGGGAGGTGTCTACCGGTCGTCGCAAAGTTAACGAAGATCGGCGGGGAGGGGGGGAGCGTAGACACACACGCGTATACGTACGGGTATATATTTATTATATGTATATATGCGTGTATATAGGCGAGACTTTTGACGACCCCCCTTTTTCTCTCACCGGGAAATGTTCAAAGCGCTTTATTACGGGTATCCGCTTTCGGCGGAGCGAGGCGTGTTTGCGTCACCCTGTTAGCGGACGCGCTAGCGGCGGTTTTCAGCGAAAAGCGCGCATAAATATGCATGAAGATCATTTATATGGGTGCCATCCGGGGTCCCCCCCCCCCCCCGCCACCCTCCGCCCTTCTGCCCACCCCTACGGCTACTGACCGTCGTTTTACGACGCAGCACGTTATTAACATTTTATCGATACTCGACATTCGATCGTTCTCAATATACTCGCGCGCGATTCCCTGCGTATCTTATCGCGCGGGCATACGTTTATATAACACGCCGGGTCGTTCGGTTTTGAAATTGAAGTATTTGCGCGATATGATGGGGGCCCCCGATTAACAATCTAGTACATTCATATGGAAACTTGCGCTTAGATACGCTACTTCGATTCGCGCGCGTGCATTATATGCGCATCTGTTTGCTTTCAGGTCTGAGTTCGACGGAGGACAGACACGTAAGTGACATCTATTTCCATTCTATCGCGATGAATTATTTAACTCGCGACGTCGAAACGTCGCGAGCCTCGAAGGATCGCCGAGTGGCGGTCGTTTCTCGTTTTCCCGATGAACAAACGGCCGCGTGGTATCGCTCGCATCGCTATGTCGATATTCCAGTGGCCGGTCAAAATAGAAAATTGTTGAACACGACACTCGATACAGCCAAGTTTTCCACCCAGTCAATTAAAGTTATTTATCGAGCGCGGATTTACCCGCGTACCGCGTCGCCGCGGGGAAACACTTTAGTCGCGGGCAATGCGGGACGAAGGAGGCTTCGTGACGTCTTCTGAATGTCGACGAAACGTTTGCGGAGACTATTTGTCGCGCTTTGCAAAAGCGATGTGTATTTTGTTATACGGTGTGTATATACGTGAAAACGCGCGCGGCTTGTACAGCGTACACTCGACCGAGTGGCACTTATCGCGGCCTCGTGTATTACACGCACATTACGCGCGTGTAACTTGACTCGCGCGCGCGTCAAGAGTGCAACGAGCGCCGCTTCAGCGTACTTCGCGTACGAGTGCGTGCTGCATATTGCAATTTATACTTTCGACCGGCTCGCGCACGGGCGCCCGAGGAGGGGCGCAAAGTGGCGAGAACGGGAGACAAAGGGGACGGGGCAGCGTCACTTTACCACCGAGCTATTTGCATAATTTCAAGTATCCCCGCTTTCTCTTCCCTCAATCGCGCGAGATTCCTGAAGAAGCCGGGCCCCGCGCGCTCGTGACTCCTCTCCCCGCGGGCGTGCGAGAGGGTTGAGCGTGGCCGGCCGTACCACGCGATTCGGGGGATGCTGGAGTGATTCTGCACTTTTGGCACCTTTTGCTCCTAGAACTGTCAGTTCGTGAAAACATGTGTGTAACATACAAATTATGTGGCTTTTGCGTACGAACCGACAGTGGTCCACTATTCAGATTAAGTGAAAGAACAGCATGGTATCATTGAAATTAAGTTTAGGAGCCTAACAAAAAATCTATTAGGTTAGGTAACCTATAACATATTCGAGTGGATAGACTTCTTGTCAAGCTCCTAAATTTAATTTCAATGATACCATGCTGTTCTTTCACTTAATCTGAATAGTGGGACACTGTCGGTCTGTACACAAAAGCCACATAATTTGTATATTACACAAACGTTTTGACGAACTGACAGTTCTAGATGCAAAAGGCGCCCAAAGTGCAGAATCACTCCAGCATCCCGAATCGAAGGAGTCGCGCGCTTAGTGTCCTCGGAGCCGGCGAGCACAGTCGGGGTAAAAGGAAGGCGAGAAAAAATAACGTCGGGCAGGAGGAAGGGGTGTATCTTGTATTACGGGTTTGCGCCGAGCCTGTAATCATCGCGGGGCCGCGAAACGCCCATCGACGCCCTCTCATTCCGCCTCTCGCCATTCTATTTTCTTCTCTCCTCCGCGTCCCCTCCTCCCCCTCCTGCGCCGGAGGGGCACCACTTTTCCCGGGGCCCAGCCGCCCTCTTTCTCTCCTCTCGCCGGCGCTTCACGTCGCGTCACGCCGATGCGCCCCATTCTCACAATCATTATCGGCTCTCGCAGCTGGACCGCGGATGCTGCGCCGCGGTCTCGCCCTTCCCGCCTCGCGCGGCTCCTTCAGTCATTCGCCCCCTTCGTTTCCCCCGTTCGCACTTGTTCGCCCACGCATCTCTCTCGCCCGAATTCCGCTGCTTTCCGTTACAGATCGACCGAAGCGGGCGCGACGAGAGACCCGCGCCAACTTTTCCGCCGACGCCCTCCTCCTCCTCCTCCCCGCGGAAAAACTCGCGCGGGAATTTATCACCGAGAGATGCGCGGCTAATATTAGATCCTACGCAAATTCCCCGGCACGTTTTGCATTTACGTCGGATTTTCGATGGCCCGCTATACGATACTCGCGCGCGCCTCCGCAATTATGCCAACTCGTAAATTAGCAGACACTGTCGCGCACGATCATCGAGTAGGATCTCGTTCTCTTTCATTTTTTCATTCGGAGCATTTTTTTTCGCGTTTATCGGCGAGTGCAATTTACATCGCGCAATTCATCCACTCCACGTACCCATATTTATCCTCAAATGTATGTATACCGTTGGCTGCGTTTGAGGGGGTTTTTCCGGAGCGCATGATAAATAATGCTTAATAGATAGAAAATAAATAAATAAATAAATAAATTTTACGAAACACCGTCCGGCCAGAGACGCGATTTCGCGCGCGCGCGCGTCGCGCCGGCTCGTCAAATTGATATTTCATTGAAGAGCGTCACAGATGAAAAATCGGCGCGGCAACGCGCCGACGGGGAAGTTACGTTTTAATACGTTCGCGAACGAGTCGGAATATCAGGGGGCAGGCAGGGCGATAGTAGGGTAAAGTCGAAATCGATTATCGCGGGCGCTCGCGTGACGATTGATAATAACCCGCGTCGACGCCGGTAATTACGGTTTTGTCACGTTCGTCGGCGCCGCAGGGAATATGTGGCTAATCCGCTGTTCCAGCCTGTACTTGCCGCGCGCGGTGTCTGTTGTTAAACGAGATTAACGATATCCGCGGGAGATTAACAGGCCGGGCGGCGGGGGGTAGGGCGAGAGGAGGCCCGTATACCCGTTCGAACGACGCGTATCTTCAACCCGTATCGCGTGTTCGGTTTTACGGCGGCGCGCAGGTATCGCGAACGTCTGTCTTCGAGGAGAGGAGGCTTCCCTGTCGGGCGTCGTGGCTGGAATATCGACGATTCACCGCGCGATTACGATTCGCCCGACGTTTCCGGCGATCGCCGGGTACACGGCGAGTGCGGCGCGCCGGACGATCCTTCACCGCGCCGACCCCCTTGCGTAATAAAGTGGCGTCTCGCTACACCGCGTGTGTTTTACAGCGGGGCTCGATCTCGCCGGCCGACAAGTACAACCGGGCGCGCACGCCGCAAGAGGCGACCCACACTCACCACTCTCATCACTCGCAGAATCACCACGATCACGCGTTGCACCCGATAAAGAAGATGAAGAAGGAGCCCGAGACGTGTAAGGACGCCGGACACGTAAGTGCTTGATAATAAAAAAGATCATCCCGGCGACTGCGCTCCGCGCAGCAGACTGTACAAGCATTAATCGCGAGGGGAACACTCTCCTTTATCAAGCTCTCGTTGCGAAACGAGGATAGCCGTAACTATTTAGCGATCAACCTTTGAGACGTAATCGACCGGCGAAACCGCTATTCTGGTAACAAATATCTGTTCGTGACTTAACGGTAAATCATATTCTCGTTGAAGAACACTTTTCCTTCGAATTTACCTCGAGATGGACGATCGGTTTTTCGCTCGCGTGATAACGGAAGAGAATTTATCGCGGTCCTGATCGACATCGCGATGAAAAAGAAATCATTATACTCGGGGGGGGGGGGGTGATTCGAGTCGAGGGGAGTTGAGTCGTCGCGCGCGATTATCGGTGATTTCTTTCCCCCCGCACAGAGTGACGGTGAGAAGAGCGACCAAGATCTGATTGTGGACGACGCGAGCGACGGTCCCCCGAGCCCCGTGATGAACGGTGTGACATCGCCCCGCGAAAACGGGCTCGACAAGGTTTCGTCCGCGGTACCGTCGATGGGCGCCGCCGGCGTGCAGACCGCGAAGAAGGACCTGGCGCCGCACTCGCCCAGAAGCGGCACGAGCAGCAACGCGAGCACGCCGTCGACGAAGAAGATGGAGGACCGCGAGAAACCGGCGACGCCGATTTCGAAGTCGTACACACCGACTTCGGGGTCCGCGACGACGACGATCGGCGGCGGCATAAAAGCGTCGACCCCGATCAAGCTCTTGGGACAGGCGGTGCCACCCGGCACGGTACCACCACCCGCGACCCCCTACTCGTTGCACTACCCGCCACCCGGATTGCCACCGCATAATATCGCGACGGTAGCGCACGCCCAACATCCGCATGTAGACGTGATAGCCGCGTACAACGGTTACCCGACACCTCGGCCACCCACCGCTCTGCAACATCTGTACGACCCGCACGCGGCACTGAGGGCATCCGTCGGGACACAAGGTGGCAAGCCGTGAGTAGTTTTTCCGAGTTCATTCCGAACTTACCCGGGTCGAAATTTTGGTACTATTTTGACACTTCCAAGGATAATTTATTCCTACTTAGCTGATCTATACACCTATCATAGACCAGCAATAATCTACTTTGATGACATACTTTTTACTCCTCCCTTGAATTTTTAATTCTAAAAATTTACTTTAGCCCCTACTTAAAAGGACCTACTTTAATGCTAAATTGGGAAAGGTAGAAATTTCCGACTCTGTCGGTTTTAAAGTAGGAGTAAATTTTGTACTTGCAGTTCGACCTCTTTTACTGTCTTAGGTCCTACTGTATAATAGAATTAATGTTCAATATAGGGCCAAAATTTCGACTTGGATAGTGGAGACAACTATGCGTGTTGTGCAGCAAACTTAGTGAATGTTGCAACACAAAACAATGTAGACGCCCCTATTATTTATACGGCAACATTTTCATTTTAGTTACTTTTGCCTTAGCCGGTCTTTCCGTGCACATGGAACAAATGAAATTGCTTGAATTAAACGTCAACGTCACGGGCTACCACAGGCACAAGTAATTTACTCATTGTATTTGCTATGGATTTTAATTTTAAGCATTGAACCAAATCTAGATTATGAAGACAACCATCTGATGTTTCGACGATTTTGTTTCAATTACACTGATTTTGTTGGTACATCACTTATTTCCGTATAATTAATTGACGATTATTTAAAAAAATGTGCAATAAAATAATATAAATTGTTGTATTCCGTGTTTTAAGAATAATGCAAATGTTTCTTGTGATCGTGAAAAGTTGGAAATAACAACGAAAAGAACAGCTCGCGAGCGAAACCACTGGGACGCAGAGGGTTGAACCCATGTCTCTTGACTAACATTAAGTCGCTAATAACGCATGATCGAACGTGGTGTGAAAAATTAAGTAAAAGTAATTAAAAATCAGATATATGGTAAGTTTTGTTCAATGTTAAATCGCGAGACCAGCAATCGAGTAAATGTGCATTCTGTCTGAAACGAAACTCGAGCTATGCAAACGGTAATTGATATCGGAGATCGGGAGAGACTTATCGTGATCGTTATCGGACGGGGTTTCGCAGTGCGTACAGCTACCATGTATTGGGCGACGGACAGATGCAGCCAGTGCCGTTCCCGCAGGACGCTCTTATGGGCCCAGGAATACCGCGCGTCGCACGCCAGATTAGTACCCTCGATCACGGCGAAGTAGTCTGCGCAGTGACGATCTCAAATCCGACCAAGTACGTTTATACCGGTGGTAAAGGCTGCGTTAAAGTTTGGGACATCGGCCAAGCAGGGATGAACGAGGTAAAGCCCGTCTCGCAACTCGACTGCCTACAACGTGAGAATTATATCAGGTCGGTAAGAGCGATATCGAAATCGAGTAAAGGATCGTCTACAATAGATGAAGTAAGCCTGGCGTAAGAAGTAACAGTAGGAGTAAAGAAATGAATCATTTCCATTTCTTGCTCCTACCTCAGCTCTGACGCTTACTCTCTAACTTAATTAGAGCGCGGCTCGACCAGTGCTATAAATGTTTTAAAAAAATTGTACCTGTACTTTAGCTTTTACACTGATAAGCAAAGGTTAGGCTTTCTTACTTCTTGCTTCCAGTGTAGACGGTCCTTAAGGGGATGCTAGAGTGATTCTGCACTTTTGGCACCTTTTACTTATAACTTATTCGAGTGAATAGACTTCTTGTCAAGCTCCTAAACTTAATTTGAATGATACCATGCTGTTCTTTCACTTAATCTAAATAGTGGGACACTGTCGGTCTGTACATAAAAGCCACATAATTTGTATATTGCACAAATGTTTTCACGAATTGACAGTTCTAGGAACAAAAGGTACCAAAAGTGTAGAATCACTCCAGCACCCCCTTAAGACGCAAGACACGTCGGTGGAAACGAACGCAAACGGTATAACTAATGAGCGGTCTTGCTTCGTGTTTTTCTGATCCGCAGATCGGTCAAGTTGCTTCCGGATGGTAGGACGTTAATAGTCGGTGGGGAGGCCAGTCAACTGAGCATTTGGGATCTGGTTAGTCCGACACCGAGGATCAAAGCTGAACTCACCTCCTCGGCACCGGCGTGTTATGCCTTAGCCATTTCGCCGGACTCGAAAGTCTGCTTCAGTTGCTGCAGCGATGGCAATATCGCTGTATGGGACTTGCAGAATCAGACCCTGGTGAGGCAATTCCAGGGTCACACCGATGGCGCTTCGTGTATCGACATCTCCGCCGACGGCTCGAAACTGTGGACAGGTGGTCTCGATAACACGGTGCGCTCCTGGGATCTTCGAGAAGGCAGACAGTTGCAGCAGCACGACTTTAACTCTCAAATCTTCTCCCTTGGCTTTTGTCCCACCGGCGAATGGCTGGCGGTTGGGATGGAGAATTCGAACGTTGAAGTGTTACACGCCACGAAGGCGGACAAGTATCAGCTACACCTACACGAATCCTGCGTTCTGTCATTGAGATTTGCTTCCTGCGGCAAATGGTTCGTTTCTACGGGGAAGGATAATCTACTGAATGCGTGGCGTACGCCTTACGGGGCCTCGATATTCCAGGTTGGTGTGTTTCTTAATTACAATCTCCCTTCGTTGTGTGTTTCTCGCAGTCGATCAACGCGAGAAAACGAGCCTTCAAATGTAACAACTGACGCGAAACCGATTAATATTATAGCCATTTTTATCGGAACCGCAGAGAGAGAGAGAGAAAGAGAGAGATATGAGATTTAATTTATCGGGCCGATTTAATTTGTCGAACAAGTCAAATCGAGATTATTGTGAAAATATTAAAAGAGTACGAACGAAAGAACGCACCTTTGACATTTAAATTCCGATTCCGTCTACGTTTATTACAAGCCCGGCGCGCAAATTACACAAATTACGTTCGCACCTTTCACGCGGAGAAATAAGTAAGTACGGTGTTACGCGCGCGAGACAAGACGGCGAGACGAGGCGTCGAGGACGATCGCGAAACAGCTCATTAAGGAACACTATATAATTACGCGATATAAACGAGCCATCGAGTCGTGACTCGATAAGCAGAAAAAAGTTGATTTATAATGCTTATGAATAATCGTTCGCTACATGCTGAACGGGCGATTTCGTTATCGAGCGGAATTCGAAGTGGCACAATAATAATAATAGTGATAGATATCTACGTGGCGGCGGCTCGTGAAATGTGTTTACGTTGTTTGACGCTTCGTAAAACGAGCGGGCGAGCCTCCCGACACACTCCAATTTTTGCAACGCGTTCTATCTTTCTCCTTTGCTTTCTCTCTTTATTCTTTTTTTTCTGTTCTCTCTCTCTCTCTCTCTCTCTTTCATCACACGACGCAGGCAGCATGCTGTTGTAACTGTTATCGCGCGCTCACTCGACGATATGTTTGTCGATTATATTTACAGGCGAAGGAATCCTCGTCGGTTCTCAGTTGCGATATATCGACGGACGACAAGTACATCGTCACTGGTTCCGGCGACAAGAAGGCCACCGTCTACGAGATCGTGTACGTATGAGACGTATGTAGCGCCGTGTGAGGGGCTATCAACTGGCCATTCCATGGAAACAGAATCGCGCACAGTTCTTTCGGGACTGTTATGGACGATGTGATACCGTTGTTGGTTCTCTTTGTTATCGCTGTTGTTACTCGCTCGTTGACAAAAGAGAGGGATCGTCGGCGCAAGGCCGAGCCAAACGGACATACGAACAATTCGGCATTTCCCTGGATTTTAATGATCGTCAACGTTTCCACCGAGATCCACATTTGGAAGATATACTTAGGACCGCGACGTAACGATAAGAGATGCAAGAGCCTAATGAGAACGCAGCAATACTTATTTAACGAGTTATTTATTTTGGAAGATTTGATAAAGGTAACTAATTTTCTTCGCAATATTTCTATCAAGAACTTTATAGTTTATTTATTCAGTTGCCGGTGTTTTATCAAGTTCCGATAGAATAGAAAATTTCAGTCTTTCACGAAGAGGGAATTTACCTTCGTTTGCGATTTGCCAATGTTATTTCAGTGAAATAACATTGATATGAATTCATAAAATTTCGGGAATTAACGTTTGGAGTGAAAAAGTTGTGTTTACTGCCCCCACTGCCGATTGTTTCGCATTTTACATGCCATTAGATTGCGATCCGTTTCGCTTGGTGCGCACGATCGCTCTTTGATTGTGATTATTCATGTCTCTTATCTGTACATTTTGTAAATAACAGGTTTTAAGTATACCGTGATATTTTTCTACTACTCCGTAACAGCGAGATGACAGACGTGACAATTGTAAATATCTCAAGATCGTGAAATTTACAAGAGGTCAGATGTAAAAAGTCGCTCGAATAAATGGCATACGATAATTAAGGCTGGCTTATCTCGGCCTTATTTGATATCTCCTTCCTAAATCCCACTTTTATCTATGCAGGAAAAAATACCTCTTGTCACTATTCATTTATTTGCTTAACCCGTCGCGTCCCAGTGGTTTCTCACTGTCGCTACGATCTGTCACTAGGTATTCTTGGAATTTATCATATTTTAAACTTTTTGCGATTTTAAGATACGTAATTGAATATTGGCGTTACTTTTACATGAGAAACGGCAGATCATTTTTTCGTATAATTGACACTTATTTATAGACGTATACATTAACCGTTTGTCTTTTTATAGAAACATTTGTTCTTATGTCGAGCCGCAAGGGGGGTTAACGCATCGACGTAATTCGACATCCGGGGAAAATGCGAAAAGTTAGTAATGGGGAAAGAGGGCTGGCGAAACGGCGAGAGATGACCTGTCGCTCTGTTAAAAACAAAATGATTAGTGGCCGGCACGCCGATAAAAATCGGGGCTGCGCACACAGCGGGCAGGTGTCGGTGGAAATAAAAAACAAGGACCACTCGTTACTCCATCCACGCGAACATTGTTAGCGCAAAAAAGAGACATCAACAATATTTAGTTGTATGTGCCGGGGCACGGCGCGGGCAGTGGCGGATCGTCATGAAAATTACGACACTATTTCGCCGATAAAAAACAAAAAAAAAGAGAGCAGTCACCGACGGGCGCGCGGGCCAGCGTGCTGACGGTTTCGTGATTGTCATGAAAACAAATCGGGGCGAGCTCGACCTCCCACGCGCGCGCATTCGGCCGCACACGGGTATAGAAAAACAAAGGCTACCCCTCTCCCCCCTCTTGGAAAAAAAAGGGAGGAGAAAAATATACGCGCGGAGCGTAGTCGAAGTCAAAACGATTGCATTTACGCCTTCGTATCGCGTCGCGAATCCGCGCGAGTCGCGCCACCCGGTGTATAATTAGCGTGGCGATGCATGCACGCGTTCAATGGAAGGTTCATCGGCGTAATGTTATTATAATAGTGGCACGTTTTGCATATGTGACCGGGTGGCGGTCTCTCCGGGAGGGCAGGAAGGGGGGCGAGAAGAGGGGGTCAGGGGTTAGCCGGATCGCTCGAACGAGGGAGGAATAAAGTCGGGAAGGGTGAGGCTGCGATGATGACGGAGGGGGGTGAGAGAGAGAGAGAGAGAGAGAGAGAGAGAGAGTGCGGTTTTACGCGGGTTTTGCTGGTCGTATTTGCATGGTAATCATATGCGGCGCGCGCGAGCGAGTGTGCGATGCAGAAATGACGCAGCAAGGCGGAGGGGGGGGGGAGCAGCGGATAGTGACGAC